AAAAAAGTAAATCAGAGACATATTTATAGTAATTATGCAGGCAAATTTGCCTGCAAATCTCTACCAATTAAGGGATACTGTGATAGGTATAAAAAAAAATAAATAAAAAAAAAGTCAAAACAGCTTTCTTTAAAGAACTTAATGTATTAGACTATATAATTCTCTAGTTTATACAAGCTTTAGGTTAGTAAGTCCTGTTTTTTTCACAAAAATAATCTATATAGTATACTTTTTAAATAATGTAATACATGTGGAAAGAACTTTAAAAAAAGTTATAGTTTCCATTAGATACTTGTAGAAAATATGATAAATGTAAACTATCTAGTTCTATATTTTTTGAAATATTATTTATAATAGAACACTAGATCACATTTGTGAGAATACTATATAGTTAGGAAGCTAACAAAAATCATGTGATTTTTTAGAGAGGGGGGTAAAAAAAGTTAAAATTATATATAAGGAACCTGACTATTTGTATATTAAGGGAGAGGAGAGAGATAGGCCTCTGATAAAAAATAATCAGATGATTAATAACACAGCTCTTATTGGATGCGAAGCATCCAATAACTAAAGTTATTTAGTAGTTGGTACAATTATATCATGATTTGCGTGATTATAATATTATTGTCATATTGACAAATAACAAAAAGTATCTGGGCCAGAATTTGATTGGTTAATGGCTAGGCCTCACAGAGGCCCAGTTATTAACTGATTAAATTCTGACCCAGATATGATAGTTATTGGTGTATAGCATCTAATAATAGTATTATTTGTCAGATTATAACAATTGGGCATAAAGTAAAGTGAATAAAAAGAGTAAGCTATTAATAAATTTTATATATTTAATTCAATTCAATTTTATGTATTTACTATAACAAAAGAAAATTTATATAAAATTAGATTACGTGAACAAGTAACAGTTAAGTATTACTATGATATATTTAAATTTTTTTTTAATTAATCAAAAATTTTAATTTAAAATTAAATTATAACAACAAAAGTTTAATTAAAAGTAAAATGACATAGTTTGTTTGTTTATAAATATTTAAATTGATTTAGGATTGATCACATTCTGATTGCTTAGTAACAAATATAAATATGAAGAAAAAATAAATACTACAAATCTACTAGTGCTAAGATCAATGAAATAATCAATAGTACAATTCCAGAGAACACCCAGAAAGCAACAGCAAAATGAGTAAAGATTTTAGAAAACTGGTGGCATGATGTAGGATATAACTATAAAATTGAACTAGTAATAGATAAAGACCAGTTTAAGCAAGAGATAACTGAGTTTATTCTGGGAATTCAACAAGTCAACACAAATAAGGAATATGTATTATCTTCTTTGATCAATTGTATTAAATTACTGAGTGTTTATATTCTAAAGCATCTAAAGGGTATGAAGATTTTTAATATATTTAATAGAAAAGAATTTCTCCATTTATGGGAAGCACTAAATGGAAATAAAAAAACTCAAAAAAGAAGATTTAGTGTCATATCATCATAATCATCTTATAGATACTGAGTTACAAACTATATTTTAACATTATACAATTGCTAATAACACTTTACAAGGCTTATAATATTAAGTCTTTATGTAGTGCTGTTTGTTATTCCAACCTCATAAGTAAGATAAGTGTAAAGAATATGAGATTGATTGGAAAACTATAAAGAGGAAGACAGCTAAAGTGAGTTTATTTAAAGCTTTTCGAAATTATTCTAATGTAATCGAATTATCTTGCAATAAGCGAGTTGTTATTAAAATTATTATCTTTGATTATTTTTAAACGTATATATTTTACTAAAGTAATTAGTTTTATTACTTTTGTTATTTGAAGTTCAAAGAATTGAAATTAATTTGAAGTAATTTTTTTATTTAATTAAATCAAATTTATTATATTAAATACATTTGCATATATCAATTAATTGCAATTTTAAATGCTGTCGGACTCTATTAAAGATTTTAATAACTCCCCGATAGATTAAAATAAATTAGGATTAGTTTAAACAATGCAAATTAATCTGATTTCTATATATAATCAATTCAAAATAAATTAGAATTAGCTTAAATTACCCGATTAAATTAAATATCTATTCTGATAGTTTTAAAATAAATTAGAATTAGCTTAAACAATGCGAATTATTTCGATTAATTAAAAAAATTTTAGATTGCTTTAAAATAATTTTCAATTAGCTTAAACAATGTGATATAATCCGATTACTTTAAATGGATTAACTCTATCAAACTATTATACTTTTAGACTTTATATTACTATATTTATAATAAGTGAAATAATTAATCCGTTTAAAAACAATTGATTACCATTTATGTAAATTAAACTAAAATAGATTATTGTGAATTATTCTATTATTACAAAAATTATTCTAGATCTTTATATACACAAATTTTAATCTAAAGTAATAAATATGTAAAGAGTTAAAATTATGCTTATAAAAGTAAAAGTTTTACTATTATAAAAAGACAATTGTGAGACAAATAAACTTATTCTACGAAATTTGCATAGTTGCGATTTAATTGACACTGAAAAAAAAGTCTATAGTGCACAAAAATTTGAACTTGTGCAACTTAATATACTTTAATAATTAAAACTAACAAAATTTAGTAGAACATGTACAAAAAAACTATATTAAGTAAATTAGAAATAATTCAAATTGTTTCAATTTAAACGAAAACAAAATATATGTATTTAATATTATTTTAAAAAATGTTTAATTATATAAAACAAATTAAATAAATTCAATTTAACTTTAATTCAGCAAGTTTTTTTGAAATATTCCATTAAGTTTATTCTATTTAGTTTTTTTTTTTTTTTTTTTTTTTTATTATTATATAATGTCATAGTAGAAACTTTATTATAGTCAGTCCGAAGATTGAAAGTTATCTTATAGTCTACAAATCTAGGTAAGGGGACAGATAAGCTACTTATTTATATTTTTTTAGTGTTACCCTGCTCTCAGACAGTGTTCCAAATATATAACAGTATTAAAATAAAAAATCAAATCTAAACATATATAAATTGTGGCGCATGTTAAAATTTTAAAAATTTTTACTTTTCCTTATATAGAAAATTGTACCGTTCCAAAGTGAAATTGGCAAAAAAGTGAACGTGTTCCTAAAAAAAACCCCTTTTTTTGATCATCGTGCATATTTTCCAAATTTTTACTAATTAACTTTTGGACAAGGACCCGAAAAAATGATGCAAAATCCCATTTTGTGCATATTTGTTGTACCGGTACAATTGCCGATCACTAATTAAAATTTTGGTACAATTGCCGATCACTAATTAAATTTTGGTACAATTGCCGATCACTAATTAAATTTTGGTACAATTGCGCCGCAGTAATTAAATTTTTGTACAATAAAAATTATACGCCACAGTTGATTTTATTAAAAATTTTATTAAAACGTCTATAATCACAAGTACAAAAATATGGTTTTCTCAATGAGTATTCGTTCAAATTACATGAAAATTGAGATTCTAATCGCTGAATCCCATCTGAACAAACTTTATTATTGAAGTAAAATCGATTTTATTTTGACAAAGTGCTTGAATTAATGTTTAAAAATTATCTTGCAAAATAAAAAACGTATGCAAAAGAGAAATGAAAATCTACAATAATTTGATGAGTTTTAATCCGTTTGACTTGAAATTTTACACACAAACTCTTGAAACATTCCTCTAAAAACCTTATTATGATCGTACAATATATTTCATTTGACCATTATACTCAAATCGATCGATACGTTCTTGTAAGTAAAATTTAAAAATTTGTCAGTAGTTCTTGTTACAAAAAATTTAATAACTTTACCAGTTTATGCTCAAAATATGTCAAATTTCATAAGGCATAATTCGAACCTGTTAGCTATAAGCCTTGTTAATGCACAGTAATATGTTTAGACTAAACTTGTAAAATCAAGGGTGGGGTACCATGTTTTTTTATCACTTTCATCAAAACGTAGAAACGTCTAACCAAAGTGTAACGTAAAAACGTAATAACTTCACGAGTTTTCGTTCAAATGAGCTCACATTTCACAGACAAATTCTTGAAAACCATGCACAACTTTGTTATTATTGACAGTTTGCATGCTTCATTTGAGGAAAGTGGTCTTCTGATCGATTGAAAACCGTCGGCAATTTTCGAAAACGTATAGACGAATCGAAGAGAAATCATGAATATCTCTGCGAATATCTAATGAAAAAGGCTAAAAATTGAGATTCAGATAGTCCGATATTCCATCCACATGTTTGCTTAGAAGCGTAAAACAGGTTTTTTTGCGATAAAGTTGTTAAATTATTCGTTGAAGTTTTGGTTAGTGTGTCGGAAAAACTAGAAAAAGATAGACGTTTTAGTGTAAATCAGATTGTTTTTTATTTCCAAAGTAGAAATCTACTTTTGGTAATTCCACTATTATTTCTTAGTTTAGTGTAATTTCCTAATGTAGAATCTACATTTGGTAATTTTATTTATTAAATTCAAAATTTATACGAACATACAAATTTTTATTAAAAAGTATAAATAGAATGATATTTTTGTTTTTATTATACCAAAGTGATTGTTCCAAAATGTCTGTGTTTAAATTGCAAAATAAAACTTTTGATATCAATGCTAAGCATAGATATTTGAATTTCACAGCTTATCATTTTGATAGGAAACAGTTTAATTCTTTGGTAGAAAAGTATTTTAAAAGTGATAAAAATCCTTTCCGTTATATCAAATATCAATATGAGAGAAACTACAATCCTCAACAAGATCAAATAGATATCCACATCCAGGGTGTTTTAATTCTTAAAAATGCAACAAGAATCGGGAAATATTTAAAAGCTGGTGAAAAAAATAGAAAAAAAGACAGTATTTCAGGTGTCAAAGGTCTTCTACAAATGAATAGAACTCATTTTGAAGGTGTTGCAAGTATTGAAGATTCTGTTCTTTATACTGGAAAAGACTATAACAAATGTTCATTGCATCACAAAAAATCCATTAATCCAAATGATTCAAAAAGTAAGATTATTTTATGTCGATGTGATTATTTTAATTTAGAAAAACATTGTGAATGGTGTAATGAAGGGTGTAAACCTTATAGAACTTCGGCAAAATATGATTCTGATTCTGGACCTTTTGAATTTGGAACTTATAAAACAAAAAGTAATAATTCTTTGGGAAAAAATAAATTTGTTGACAGAACTCCTGATAAACATCAAGTTTCAATTGAAATCATGGAGGATCTTATTAAAAATGATCTATCTGGAGATGAGGCTGTAATTAAATATGCACCAAAAATGTCGAACTGGGTATTAGATTTAAAAAATGTATATGTTATTTGTAAGGCTATTAAACGTTCTCGAAGAAAACAAAAAAATTCATTACAAAGATTCTGGCGACCCATAGTTTTTTATCTTTTCGGACCGGGTGGAAGTGGTAAATCTGGGTTAGTGGAAGAACTTTTTAAAGATGAGTTCTATGACAAAAAAATGAAACAAAGGTCTGGTTCTTCATGGTGGGATGGATATGATAGTCAAGATATTTTGTTTTTAGATGAGTTTTATACTAAGATCGAGTGGAACAACATGGTGAATTTGTTAAATGATACAAGTTGTAACGTAGAAATTAAGGGAAAAAGTTTTGTTTCATTTTTATCTAAATATATATTTATGACAACCACAAAGAATCCATTGGAAGCCTATAATTTTAAAAATCGTGGAGGAAATGAGGATGATAATAAGCGTGATTTTCGACAGTTCGGTAGACGTTTGGATTTCGTGATTGAGTTTGATGGTGTGTGGGATGACGATATTGAGAAGCGTACCACAAAAATCACGTTTCATCAATGTGAGTTGGAAGGAATAAATTGGGGTACTGAGGAGCAATTTCGTAGTATGAACTGGGATGTGAAGTATCGAAATAGGCATAATACAGTGACAGAAGTTATTGAGAAAAGCAAAATTGTTAACAAAGGAATCGAAGGGGAGCATGTTATTGTTGGTCATACGGTATATTGGCGTCGCAAGTTTCCAGAGTTCAAGCGTCGTTATCTGCAGGATTATCCGATGAGTCGACCGCTCTTTGAATATCGCATGGAATGTGAATCCCAACAAATTATTTCACAAAATTTAGTAGAAAATACAGATCCTCAGATTGAATCCAGCACTTCACATAAACGAAAATATATTGAAGAGAAAGAATTATCAGATTTTTCTTCTAATAATTCAGATTTTAGTAATATTAGTTCAGATGATTCAGATTATACATATAAAAAAAAGAAAGGCAAATCAGTTGTTGATTCTGTTATTAAAAATTTAATAGCAGAAAAAGAATCAGCAGATCTTGAACAAGCTATTATCCAGTCAAATTACATAGATTTAAGCAACAAGTCGCAAGATCCAGAAGAATTTTTCTCAGAATCAGAATTGTACGAATCAGATGTTATACTTGATATCTCTGAAGATAAACCAAAAAATACCAAGAAACGCAAGCTAATTAATGATGATGCTTCTAAAGATTTTAAACAAAAAAACAAGGATAATCCAGAATTTAAACGGTTAAAAGGTTTATTAAAAAAATTATAAGTTTATTTTTATTATATAAATATATTATTGTATCAAAATTTTATAAATAAAATATATTTTATCATGGTATTCCCAAATATTAAACAAATTTATAAAGTTTTGTTAAAAGAAAAAACATGTATTGATTATTTATTTTCAAATAATATAATTCATAAACCAACATGCCAATATTGTAATTCTGAGTTAAATCAAATTAAAAAAATACTAAGATGCAAGAATCCAAATTGTTGTAAAGCAGTTTCAATTTACAAGGATTCATTTTTTGCTAAGCATCATATTATCAGTTCAGATATTCTGTTATTAGCATATTTCTGGTTATCAAAGATTAATTATACTTCAATTAGCATGATGACACAACATTCTCCCAATACTATTGTAAATTATACTAAAATATTCAGAGATCTGGTCATAGACACGTTGGAGGATGATGACATGATCATCGGTGGAAAGGATATTATCGTGGAGATCGATGAGAGCAAGTTCAAGAGGAACAAGGACTTATGGGTAGTTGGAGGTGTGGAAAGAACAGAAAAGAAGAAATGTTTTTTTGTTGTGGTTGAAGATAGAAATACAACAACTTTAAGAAGAATCATCAAAAAACATGTAAAATCAGAATCAATTGTGTTTACAGATTCATGGAAAGGTTATCAGCTTGAAGGGTTAAATCTTATTCATAGAAGGGTAAATCATTCGAGAAATGTATCAGAAACATTTGGAATTCACACAAACACTATTGAAGGAACATGGTCAGGACTAAAGACAATAATTGCTGAAAGGAATAGAAATCAAGACAAGATTGAAAAACATTTATTAGAATTCATCTGGCGAAGAAAACATAGAGAGAATATCTGGCAAGCGTTTATCGATATTGTTAAAAATTATTAATTTTTTTTAATAAAAATTTATTCTAAGATATGTTCCATATCACGATCAAGTACTTGTCTTGCGATCAGATTTGCCTTTATTTTTTTATAATCTTCTTTTAACTTTGAATTAATCTTTTTTAACTCAATAATCTGTATATTTTGTTCTTCAACTTGTTTTGTTAACTGTGTTATCTTAACAAAAGGATTTGAAGGCTTATATCGGATACATGTTTTGTTTCGTTCCTCGCAATGTTTGCATATCTCAGATCCTTTAATTTGTACGCATTTTCTCTTCCATCTACGACAAACTTCGCATGAAAATGCCATTTCTGTATAATTTTTGTTTATATTAAATTTTCTGAATTATTTTGGATCAATTAACATTTCAAAATTAAAATTACTGTTTTTATTTATAAAAATTTCTGTATATTTTTTTGAAGATTTTTGGTTTATTTTGTAAAAATGAAATAAACAACATAAAAGAAAATGGTTTAAAACCAAACAAGAAGCAATAAACTTTAAACTAGAGCATGATAAAAAAACTGGTAATCGTAACGGATATTCTCCTGTATTTTATTAAAAAATTGATAATATATTGGTTATTTTGCTTAAACAAATAAACAAAAACATTCAAGCTGCACTAACGGGAAGGTTCATTATCATAGCAGCTCAAAAAAAAAGAAATCAGCTTCATCCCTTTGAGGGGGAGGTAGAAAGACACTCCAAAGGATGCGTGTTTGATCCTTCGAATGATGACCCCAATCAATTCTGTGTCAATTCTCCTTTACGGATTCATCGCATGATTTCCCAAGAAAAAAGAGCCAGCTTAATGAGGCCGACCATCGAAATTGCAAAGAAAATCGCCTCGTTAATATTGTTCTGAGAGACCCAGTTCCCACAAAACTCAAGCAAATTTCTAGGTAGTAGCTTCTGTACTGGATCTCTGTCTCTCA